CTTCCTCTTCCTCTTCCTCTTCCTCTTCCTCTTCCTCTTCCTCTTCCTCTTCCTCTTCCTCTTCTCCTCCTCCTCCTCCTCCTTCTTCTTCTTCCTCTTCCTCTTCTCCTCCTCCTTCTCCTCCTCCTTCTCCTCCATAACTCTCCTTCTCCTTCTTTCTTTAGATTTTTTGTTTTATCCATTGCCTCCTCCCTGTGGCCTCTCTCTTTTGGAGTGGCCCAGCTGGAATTTCTGTCCCGTTGCAGCTGTTCTATTATTTGCACACCCAAAATCCCAGGACAAGGGAGGGCAATAAGGTGCTACATTTACTAAAATGGCAGGGACCTGGGGCGTATTTCCCAGATCTCCATCCAGTTCCCAAGGATCCTTTTCTGAAAATAGTGGTAAGGCAAAGGGGGCTTCTCACCAGAGGTCCGTATTTGGAAAGCTGTATTAAGGTGCCCTGAAACCTCTGCCCGCTTGATCTAAAAGTTTTGCCAGAGTTTTTTAGCTTCTGACAGAGGTTGCCCCTCCCAAGCAGGGAGTTGAGGCGCTCTGCAGCCCACGCCTTGGAGAAATGGCATGCCCGGATGCCAGACATGGGGAAACCCTTCTGAAATTGGACTCCCCAATGTCCAGGCTAAACCTTTGCACCTTGGGGGGGGATGAAGAGCATCTGCAGCACGTGATAAAGGTGGTTTTCCTTAGAAGAAGAACAGGCGTCAGGCTGCTATGACATCGTGGTGAAAAAGGCACGCTTGGTCTTGGGAAGCTTCTCAAAGCTGCTAGCTGGGTGGACTTGCTCAGCTCCAGTCCCCCGTGTCGCCTTGGGAGAAAGTTCAAGAGTTGTGATGAGGACGGCTAGCGAGTGAGGGGTTCGGCTGCTGGAAAGACCCCCGTGGAGGAGGCTTCGTGCAGTTGGCTTTCAAGCTTTCTCGAGCATCCCGCTCCTCTCCGCTTCAGCATTGTCTTCTGAATCGCCCTCTGCTGTTCTGCGGGGCGCAAGGTGGGGATCTCCCGGGGGTAACGCAAGGCTGCAATTTTCCCGTGTGTGGGGCACGGCATTGACAGAAAGACCTGGCAAAGCGTAAAAGACATTAAAACACACATTATGCATTTCTCCCTCTGCATGCCACTCGGGAAATTCCGGCTGTAAGTAATCGGTTCCACCTATGGTATAAAACAAACTGTTATTTAGGAGAGCGGAATCAAGCTGCTAGGAGTTATATCCTTTACTAATTACAGTGCTTTCATGTATGTACACTGCTTTTATCCATTCGTGGCTCGCTCTCCCATCGCTCTGCACCCGTTGCTCGCTGGAGTCTTTCCCTTTGCAAAGGAGGAGGGGACCCAGCATGGCTCAGGCACTTTGTTTCCACGTTGCAGGAGCGGGAAAAGAACCTTTTGGGGCAGAGGGCAACGTGATTGTGGATTTCAGAAAGTCTCCAAGAAGAACCTGGTCATCAGCCTCGCTCCTGGTGGTGGGGGCTGTTCCGGAATAATTGCACTGGTAGAAAGGAAAAAGTTCTCCAAAGCGGTTGATGTTCAACCGTGATTCAATAGAAAGCGAGGCTTTTCAGACTTGTAATCCTGTATTATTATTACTATTATTATTATTATTATTATTATTATTATTATTATTCCTATTAAATATCCCTTTAAATGAATGTCAGGGGAACCCTCAGCAGTTGAATAAACTTGAGAAATGAGACTAAAGTGTTCAACACGCGATACAATTAGACTGGGAGATGTTTACTGAACCTGAATATGAAATACTTCTTTTGTGCCAAGTTTTTTTATTTTTAATTTTTAGAAAGGAAGCCAAGAGAAGTTCGGATCCCATTTCTTCTGATATCTCAAATATTTCTTTTCTGATCTGTGTCAATAATGGAGTCTTAATTTTTTTTTTCTTTTTTGGGCACCTTTTATGGTCTGAAAGATGATGATATTTATTTCCTTGTTGAGTTTTAGGTCATACGGGTTATCGCTCCTTGCAAAAGGTGCGAAAGGGCAAAGTCAGTCGTATTTCCTAACCTGAGATTCTACAAGTCTTGAATGGGGGCTTAATGGTAGTGTCAAATGAGAATGACAACCTCTCTTAACTAACTTACATTCTGCAAGATGGTGAGGACTGGTCTGATGGAATCAGTTGTTTTTCAATAGCTTGTTTGTGGATCTGAATCAAACAGGTTTGGGCTGTAGCTGCAGGTAATGATCGAATCACAGAAGTGCTCCCGCGTCATAAAAATATGTCACCCGGGAAGAGGCTGTTGAATTGGGAGGAAAAGTGTCTGACTAAGGCAAAGCAGAGCTTTCAGCTCAGTGTCCAAGGAGTACAATCTGAACTAGAAGGGTTGCTTGAGTGAAGGGTTTGCAGTTGGGTGGTTGGGTGGTTTTTGTGGGACGAATGAGGACTTTCCAAGGAGGGTGAGTGGGTCTCCAACTGCTGTTCATCCAGCTGTTTGAAACTCCAGAAGTTTCAGAGGTTGAAGGCAACAGGCTGTTAATCGACTCCTTTGTTCCTTCCATTTCCAGCCTCACGGTGGGACAGGTTGGGCAGAACTTCACATTTGTGCTCACAGATATCGACAGCAAACAGAGGTTTGGCTTCTGCCGTTTATCGTCGGGGGCCAAGACCTGCTTCTGTATCTTAAGGTAAGTCAGAGGCCACCTCACCTTCTGCCGTTCTTCTTCCTCCCTCTGGGAAGCCATGTTGATGTTCTGCTTTGGTGGCTTGAATGAACACCTCCCAGCTGTTGAGGCAGGCACTCACCTGTCTGTTCCTTGGGAAGTCCCTGTGCTCCCGGAGACTTGTTGTCATGCCAGAAACCTTCTCGCGCTCCGCGGCTCTTCTCTCCCGCTATCCGCATGGAAGAATTTGTCTCCTTGGCTTCTAACAGGATGTGAGAATCGCCCCGTTGTTCTGGGGATCAGCCCCGTTTCAAAGAAAGGGGATAGTTGCTGTTATTTTCAGCTGCCCTCAAGTGTCTGGGTGGATGGAGACCTTTATCTCTCTCAGGCATGATGTGAAGAAAGGAAAGACCATGTTAACTAGTTGGAAGGAAAGCTGATTTCTTTCTGATCATTCACACGTGCCTTGTTTTGCAGAATGCAAATTATTTTGCTACCGAGATGAGATAGGAACGTGGCCTCTTTAGAAGGCACTGAGGCAACCTAGGAAGAGCGAGGAGCCAAGTTCTCCCTCCCCAGAACCAACCAAATTAAATCAAATCTTTATTATAGTCACAGACCAGCACAACTTGAACCAACCAGCTGCAGTGGTATGGTTTATTCCTTTGCATGTTCCTGGGTTCGACAGGTGCTAAACCCAGTAGAGTTTCTTCTCCCACATGTTTTTCTCGTAAGGGTTGTTGTATTAAAAACAGAAAATGCATCCATGAGTTGTACTAAGAATAGGTCCTTCCAAAGCTTGGTGCTCAGATAGAAGACAAAACTCCTTCTCCTTTGCTAAAGTCAGGATGGCTTTTCAGACAATTGCATCTAGACCCTACGTTGGTCCAACCGTTTCCCCATTGGTTTTAAAGGGGGCGTGAATGAAATTTCCCAGTGAGTGCAACCGTGTTATAATGACCTCATTGCAGAACTCCTGGGACAAAACTCCTATTTGTTATTCTTAAAGGCGCCTTTTACACCGAACAAGAATGGCACCCTTCTACAGGGGCTTCTGCAAGTAGAGATGTTGGATGACACCCAACATTGGAGGGTTCTGGAAAGGGAGGGAGGGAGGGAATTAAGGCAAAGTCATTGTGTTCCTATTTTATCCTGGAGGACCTGGTGGGTGTTTCCTCTTAACAGAGCCTGGACAAGAAATGAGATCATTTGTAACTGTGATTATGTAATGAAGAGCACTAATCGTCTTTCTCAAACTACAGTTCCGCTTTTCCTCAACGTGTTGTTTCTAATGAGTCTTGAAACTCTTTCTGTGGCTCGCTTATTTTGTGCCCAGCTGACTAATATGTTCCTTATCAGCTTGGGAAGAACATTTCTTTCCTTTCCTATCGGCAGAGGGCATGGGAGAACGCCCAACGGATCATCTGCTCTTCGTATTCAACTTGTCTACCGTGGTTGGGAGAACCACCTTGTGAAATCTCTCTGTCTAATACCTGCAGTATTTCTAATACCCCTCTGCCAGGTTATTCCCACTTCTGTGTTAATTTAAAGAAACGGTCCATGGGCAAGTGGCTTTTGAAACACGGAAGCGGTTGGCACTGTGAAATTGAGGACCGAATATGAGGCATTACTCTGGACGTTAAAACAATGACTTCTCCTGAGCATTTTGATACAGGATAACTTACGAGAGTAGCTCCATAACTTGTATTCCTTTGATCTGTTCTTAAAATGAGCTTCATTTTTTTTAAAAAATGTCTTTACACTTTCTTTTTCTTACAGCATGCCTATTTTCATCTGCCCGTTTTGATCCCGATGCTTAGATTTTAAGCTGCCTCATGCATGTTTTGGGACGATCATCAGATGTGCTTTGAATAATGATGGTTATTTTAAAGCGCACATCCAATCAAATGGATCAAACTTGCATGGCTCCCAACTTCTATGTATGGAGAAGTTATTTTTTTCTACCCTAACTTGATCCTTTTTTGTTTCTCAGAAAAGGCTGGAAAATGACCATCTCTTCTTGCTTGGTTCAATCAATCCAAAGTCTGATTGAACCAAACGCATCTCCAGGAGCGAGCCTGGACGGGACATAATTTATGCCTTCTTCAGTTCATTTATTTAATTTCTTTTAAAGCAGTGTTCGTGTTCTTTTTTCAGTGTCTGAGTTTAGGAATGTCTCTTCCATATATTCCCTGCACCGCCATCCCCTCCAATTCCTCATTAGGCCTTTCTCCGAGAAAGCTGGCTCCCTTCCTCCCAGTAGTAAAAAATGGGTCTGCTTCTCTTATTGTGAGAATACTGAAAACCATAAGGGCTTGGATGAACCTAGATTTTTGGAATTTCATTGGATCCTGGGTGAAAGTTTGTGTATGTTGTGTGTTACTGTTTTAGGTGCTGTTTTACTGGTTTCATAATTCTGTAATTTTTGATGTAAACTGCCCTGGGAAAGCTGTCAACATTGAACAATGTTGTGTGAGTTGTAGTGCAGGCATCTCTAAAATTAAAAGGACTTTTTTTGGAGGGGAGAAGGGCTGCATGTTATGGGTGGAGTGGGAGCACGTGGGTAAGTGAGTTATCCCAGGTAGCAGATGATGGAAGGAGAGGGAGAAATTGAATTGAAAAGTGGTTTTAGAACACCAGGATTTTAAATGCCTTCTGAACGCACGTAGCTTTCTTTCTGGGAGTGCTTGGAATCGGGCATAATTCTCCCTGCCCAGTTGTGCTTCTGAAATGCAAAATGAGCCACATCATTGAAGCCCTTGGAGGCCTGGTTCACACATCACCCTAAGCTTTAAAGCTTGGATTATGAAGCCCATCAGCACGGCCCAGACGTGCAACTGAGCCCAGCCCAAGTCAACTCCATGATGGCCTGACAGCCCAGTGGGTGAAACCAGTTGGGGGGGCCGGGGGGGCTGGCTACCTCTTTGCCTCTCATGGAAGCACATAATGAGGTCCAACTGAGAAGGGAGGTCCATCGGTTGACAGATCCCATTTTGGCACTGCGAGGAACGTGCAGGGCGGAGGACCGGATGGAAAGGAAGATTTGCAAACCGGGGTGGGCTATAGCTCGTTTTCCCTCCGTGAAGGTCAGGACTGAGCTCCAGGGTGCTGTGCGGAGTGCCAGCGTAGGTAAACTGAGGCTGACGGGTCGAATGCAAGCAGGAACCCGGGGGCTGCTTTGGCTGAACATTTTCAGGCGAGATGGATGGCTAGTTTATTTGGTACTGGCTCTGCGCCCCAACGCGCACTACGTGGAAGTAAACTTGTCTTCCCTAAAGAGCTTTCTTGTGACAGTTTGCTTTAGGGAAAATTCATTTGTCCCTGGGCCACTTTAGGAAAAGCCAGCAGTGGCTGTTTCAGTTCATGAAAGTAGAAAATCTCTGAGTTGCGGCTGTAAACCCTGGTTTCTGTAGTTTCATCTCCCTTAAACGCCTCTTGCGATCTCTATAACGAAGCCAGTCAGCCCCCAGCCCACCCCTCCCTCAAATAAAAACGGTGTTTTATTTTATCTTTGAAAGCATTTCCACTCTTCTTCTCTTTCCCAAACAGCAGTTGGGCATTGATAGTGATCCGGACAACCCTTTGCTTTTTGCTTTTTTTTAAACAAGAGCTTTGCAAGTGAACTTCAAACTAAGATGGTTTTGTTTTGATGATTCTTCCTGGAAGGGACGTGTTTGTGAAAATACACAGCTCTGAAATGTTTGGAGGCATGAAGCCAGAAAGGGCGCCCGGGTGCTGTATTTAAATATTGATGCTGACTTTGAAAACATACAAGAACGCGTAAGATAAATTAAAGGAAGCAAACGCTTCGGAATAAGTATTTGAGGGTATAAATGTGCTTCCATCTTAGCTTTGGAGTTGGGCTTGCTCAATCTGTGCAGGAAAATCAAGGGTAGGTTAAAAAATATGTATTGTAGGGGAGCAGTTAGGAACGAGCATGGCTGTGTGTTAAATCTGGTGTATGGCGCTGGGCGAAAACAAAATGGACACGTTTTGCTTTTATTTTCTACTTGCCAGAAGTGGCCGCTGAGCCCCCCAAGTCTGATTCCAAATCTGTTGCTGTTCTTGATGCAGAAGAGAAGTTTTGTTAACCAATTCGCGATCATTTATGAGTTTTCATCCATGCTGTGGCTTGACTGTGAAGTCAACTCCTCCAAGTTTTGAAGTCCTTGAGATTTACTCCACAGCTCGCTTAGTCCATCTGGCATTTTTAATAGAGTCTTGTTCATTTCCAATCATCTCCCCACCCCACAGCCTGATTTATCTGGACAAGGGAGAGAGAAACGGTAGCCCCTCACAGACCCATTGCGTGAAATGCTCTTTTGTTCACGCTTTCTTTGATCTTGACTTATAAGGGCGATAACTTGACAAGAATCTCCTTTTCTCCCAGAATAGCGCAGTTCTAATTTCTGCGAAACACAGAGAGCTTTAACGTTTCAAGCAAACTCAACAACTTACATGCAAAGTTGTATATGACTGGATTCTCAGTTCTTAATTTGCTTTATGATTGATATATTCATTTATTTATTGGGTTTAGATGTTGCCTCTTCTTTGGGAAACTGAGGCAGCATAGATCGTGTTACCTCCTCCAGTCTTCCCCTGTGATATGTTATCTCTGGATAGCAAGAGGTTCTCCAAACCACCATCACCATCTTCCTCCTCCTCCTCCTCTTCCCTTCCCTGTCTCTGCCCAAAGAAATGCATCTAGGATTACAAACGGGTGTTTTCCTCCTCAACTAGTTCCTTCGGTATGGCTTGCTCCTTGTGATTTCCCAGCATTCCTCGGAGCAGATTCCAAACGCGGGCCAGCACCGGCTCCAAAAAACGTCAATGTGAAATGCTGAGGTGGGCTGAGACGTGATGTCAGGTAGCGTACAAATAGAAATGGGTCTCTCGCCTGGGCTTCTGAATGATGTCTGCAGCTGTTGCTTCTCAGAGGCCTCTCCAAGATACAAAGCCTTATCAGCGCTCAGCTGATGTATTCTTTGTTGCAACGGTTCCCCTTTTACGCTGAACTCCATGGC